TTGACAGGAAGTGTGCAAAACCTACTATTCCACATAAGAGGTCAATGATCTGCTCAGGACAGCCAAATTTGGGTCTAGAGTGCACATGCCTATAAGAACTAAAGCATTATTTCTAGAGAAGGTAATTTCAACAAATGTTTTAAGTATGACAAGAGGAAAAGGGAAAGTCAGTCTATACTATTTTCTTCCTCAGACTCAATACATCTAGCTAACATTCAACAAGAAGTTAGTATTTCCACACTTTACGGCTTTATGGTGTTGGCCGGGATTAACTTTTGCTCCAAAGAGTTGTGACTCCATGAAGTGTGTGCCACCTGAGCTCTTCTCTCCCCCTGAATCTAAGTGTACTCGACAGGATGAGGGATAAATCGAAATCCATGCTGTGCACGGAGGCAGCCTGAGGCCTTGAACAGGCTGGACTTTTTTAAACTTACGTGTTTGGTTTATGTGCCACACCTGGCAGTATTCAGGGTCAACTCCTGACTGCACTCAGGAACCATTTTAAGCGGTGCATGGGAGACCTTATGAGATGCCGGGGATAGAACATGGATCTGCTACAAGCAAACACCCTACCTTCTGTACCATCACTCTGGACCAACTTACATGTTTTGACTACATAACAAAATCATGTAACCTCACTTTGAAAGGAACAAGAATTCATAAAACTGAACTAAAATTCCTGGTGGGGCAGTGCTTGCTCTCTTCTAGTCAGCTGAGTTCTTTCTTTGGCAGAATCCATGGAAAGGGGCTGCGCAGAAGAGGAAGATGACCTGGAGAAGGCTGGCTCAGAGGTGGGACCTCAGAAGCTACAAAGACAAAGGGACTGAAGGTCTAGAGACAGTAAATAACAGAATTTATCATCTGTAGTTTGCTTATGGGAAAAGATAAGGTCACAGTTAACACATGTGAGCGTGTGTAGAAAGCTTCCTCCGTCATTCTTAAGAGCAAATTCCTGCAGATGGGCACCTGTGCATGTGTGAATATTCATATTCCTTCTCTGAGTTTCTTTAGCCTGGAGGAAAAAATGTCTACTAAAGGACAAAGTACAGCTCATGGAGAAAAACGAAAAGTGAAAGGATTTAGCTCTCAACCTCACACATACACCTGTGCAGGTAGGTACTGTGACTAATTGACAGCTGCTTTTGTTTCCTTCTTGAGCCATCTTTATTTAGAAAGGGAAGAAAAGTTCCCACATGAAATTCCCAAACTGCAGCACTATTAATGAATATAGATCTGCTTGGTGGCAATGAGCCGATAAAACCCAGAAAGGGTGGATTTGAGTATTGTGCTGAGAAGGCAGAAGGTCCAGACAATCGCAGAGAAGGTACTTCCCCTGCCAAGTCAGCAACTATAGTCAGAAGAAAGTTCTGGAGTAAATAAGGCAAATAGAGTCTCATAAGCGCAGGGGTAGGTTCTTTCCAGGAAACCGAAACAGTTAAAACGTAAACAAGTTAGGTGGAGCAATAAAACAGTGGGCAGGCACTTGCACCAGTTTGACCCCCAGCACCCCACATGGTCCCTGGCGCCTCTAGAATTAATTTCTCAGTGCAGAGCCAGGAGTAACCCCCAGGCATAGCCAAATGTGCTCCCCCCCCCCCCCCATACACACACAGAGTGTAAATAACTTCTTTTTTCCTCCAAGAAACCTAAATAGTGTCTTTTCTTCTAATCTAGTTTTTGTTTTCAGAGGCTGAAATTCACTGGCAACAACCTAAAACCCACCTTGGGTGCTCAGTTTTAGGCTCAAGTTTTCTTTAAGAGGGAATAAACACTACACAACGTTACTGAGTTAGTCTGCATCATGGTTTGGTTTTCCTTTTTGCCTGAGAGATTTTAAGGTGATCTGAAGGTATACAAACCAATTACTGACTATAAACCACACAGTAATATTTGAAGACAGACCTTTCACACTCCCCACATTCACTTATCAGACCCTATGAGGGGTCCCCATCCCCGTTTAAGAAGCTAAATTTTAGGTTCGATCCCTGATACTGCATGTGGTTTCCTGAACACTGCCAGTGTGTGGTCCCATACGTGGTCCCTCACCACCATATGTGGTCCCCTGACCTCCTCCTGCTGTGGTCCCCAAAGAAAATCAGACAAACTAGCAGCAGCAGCTGCAGCCAGGGTTTTAAGCCTGCCTTAAGCCTTCCTAGAACAAGGTTAGAAGTCAAAGAAGTCCCTGTTCAGGATGATGAAGGGGTGTCATGTCTCAAACCACCGACAGTTGGCTCCAGGACAGAAATGTCCCATCACCTTGCGGCTACACTTGGTCCAGTCCTAGTGCCTAGCCGTGATGGGTATGTGGCAGTCCTGGCAAAGCCTCTTTTCTCTTTCAGAATTCTGTCTCCCAAGCAATCGTTCTCAATCAGCAGATTTCTCCCCAAGCAGGGCACTTAAAAAACAGAAACAACCTTCTGAGAGAGAACTCCCAACCAAATCTGGCACTCACCACAGAAGATGGCTCAAGAAGGAAACAAAAGCAGCTGTCAACTAGTTACAGTACACACCTACACAGGTGTGCACGTGTGTGTATCTACAAACTTGTCTGGTGTCTATTTCCACCTAAACATCCTCTAGGGAGGAGGACAACAACCTTGGTACCTCCTTCTTGGCAAAGTGTGGGGTGCCTGGACAGCCGGTGCACAAGTCTTTGGGATCTTTCCCTGCAAGATTCTGGACACCTCGCTGGAGTCAGCACCCTGTCTCCTAAAGCCCCCACGGCGGAGCTTTAAGCAAGCACGGAAGAGGTTCCAAGAAGCCCTCTAAGGCAGTCAACAGCACAGCCCAACAAGGCAAGGGGGTGCTTCTTTCCAGGCACAAACTAGGTCCAAAGCAACCCGTGATGGAACCCAGGGCAGGTCACCCTCGCTGGAAGGGCAAAACGCCTCTCGGTGTGGCGTCTAAGCCCCTCACCCCCAAGCGCGCATGCTGCCTGGACCCCCGCAACCATTTCTCATCTAATTTATTTTTTTTTTATAAGCCGGTGATGTCCAACTCCCCTCCGAAGGGATAAGTGAGAAACTGCTGCATTCGACGCTCTAGATGAAAAAACGCAAGCGTCAGGAGCAAGAGTTCCCCCCCCCCCCAGCCCTTGCTGTAGAGTCCAGACTCCTCTCCCACCCCCCAGTGACAGCCACATCAAGTCGGTCTGGGCCGGGGTTGGGGTTGGGTGGTGGTGGTGGTGTGCTCAAGCTTCAGGGCTTGGAACTTGTAACACAAGGGCTGGGAACACCTCCCGGGTACCCTTGTTTCCTGCTCCAAACCCTCCGGGGTACCCTAGTTTCCTGCTCCAAACGCGGGTGTGTTGCGTGTGTGTGTGTGTGTGTGTGTGCTGGTGGGTCAGAGAGAGGAAAAGCGGCGCCCGGGGTCGTGTGTGTGTGTGTTGGTGGGTCAGAGAGAGGAAAAGGGGCGCCCGGGGTCCAAACGCTGGTGTGTGTGTGTGTGTGTGTGTGTGTGGCAGTTGGTGGGTCAGGGAGAGGAAAAGGGGCGCCCGGGGTCCCTACCCACCCTCATCAGCAACCCCGAATGACTGAATAATTACAACAACAAAACCAACAGGACGAGGAGGAAAACGGGCCAAAAAAAAAAAAAAGAAAAAGAAAGCAAGCCCGCGCGGGAGTCAGGGACCAAACTTGTGTGGGAAACGCCGGGCGGCCGGGAGGGACCTCCCGAGGCGGGAAGACCCCGCGCCCCGCCACCAGCTGCGGGAGAGTCGCCGCCCGCGGGGGGTGGGGGGTGGGTGGAGGGACGGCTTGGTGGCGGGGAGGAAGAGGCGGAGCAACGGGGGTCTTCCCCCCTCACACACAGACATAGACATAGAGTACTTAGACAGAGACTCAAGGGAAACCCGTGTCGCTTTCACGGCGGCGACCCGCGCGGCTGCGGCCACACACACACACACACACACACACACACACACACACACCATACCACCTCGTCACTCACACTCACACACACACACCCCGCCTCATCACACCCTCAAACAACACACCGCCCCGTCTCACACAAACGCTCACACACACACACACCACGGGGTCACACACACATTACTACCCCGTCACAAACACACACACATACACCCTCACCCCGTCACTCACTCACATACACACACACACCACCCCGTCTTTCTCTTACACACACACACACACCACCCCGTCACACACTCACACACCCTCGTCTCTCACTTTCTCTCACACACAGCACCGTCTCTCACACACAACCATCCCATCTCTCTCACACACACACACGCCGTCTTTCTCTTACACACACACCCCCTCGTCTCTCACTTTCACACACACACCACGTCTCTCACACACAACCACCCCGTCTCAAACACACTCACACACCACCCCGTCTTTCACTTTCTCTCTCTCTCTCTCCCTCTCTCACACACACACACACACACACACCATACCACCTCGTCACTCACACTCACACACACACACCCCGCCTCATCACACCCTCAAACAACACACCGCCCCGTCTCACACAAACGCTCACACACACACACACCACGGGGTCACACACACATTACTACCCCGTCACAAACACACACACATACACCCTCACCCCGTCACTCACTCACATACACACACACACCACCCCGTCTTTCTCTTACACACACACACCACCCCGTCACACACTCACACACCCTCGTCTCTCACTTTCACACACACCACCGTCTCTTACACACAACCATCCCATCTCTCTCACACACACACGCCGTCTTTCTCTTACACACACACACCCTCGTCTCTCACTTTCATACACACACCACGTCTCTCACACACAACCACCCCGTCTCAAACACACTCACACACCACCCCGTCTTTCACTTTCTCTCTCTCTCCCACACACACACACACACACACACACACGCACACGGAACCCCGTCAGGGGTTGAAACGCGGCCGCCGCGACCCGCCGGCGCCCCGGGCGGCGCTTCCCTCCGCGAGGCCGCGGGGCCGCGGGGCCGCGCAGGCCGCTCGGGGGCGTACCTGGCCCACTTGCTCCGTGGCGTCGGCGAGGATGCCGTAGTTGCGGTAGAGCTCCTCCACGGTCGGCATGGTGCGCCACAAGCCCCGGGCCCCGCGCTCCGCCTGCTGCTGCTGTCGTCGACGTCGTCGTCGCCGGCCGCGCCACGGCCGCTCCTGAAGTTCCCCCGCTCCGAGCCCGCGACCCGCACTATTACGCCTCCAGCTGCCGCCTGTGGCGCCGCCAGTCAGCGCGCAGCGCGTGGCTCCGCCCCCCGCGTCGACGGCGGGGCGTGCGCGCGTCGGGAGCGGCCGCGCTGGGCCGGTTGCAGCCGCCGCCCGCGGGCGCTATCGCCCCCTAACGCTTGGAGGTGCGAAGTGCAGCCAGCAGGGCCCTCGCGGGTGTGCTCAGGGGTGGCTGGTGCCTAGCTAGCCCGGGGGAAAAAATTTTTGCTGTTGGGAGCTCTGGGTTCAATCCTCACGGCTCCTCTTTACCTGCCCCCACCCCGGCATGGACCAGACTCCAAGCATTGCTGGGAATGCTGTCCCCTCCTCCCCCCGCCCAAATAAAAGGCAAGCTTCATCTCTTATTTACGTTTGATTTCAAATAATTTTATATTTAATTGAATCACCGTGAGAGACGCATTTATAAAGTTGTTCATAATTGGGTTCTGGTCATACGAGGCTCCTCTACCCATCCCCTCACCATCACCAATATCCCCAGTTTCCCTCCCGCCAGCCTCCACACCTGCCCCTCTTCCTTGCCACAGCCTCCCTCTATGTTTTATTGCTTGATTGACTTATTTTTTTTTACTAATTTTTATTAGTTAAATACCATGAGGTATAGTTGTAGACTTACAAATTGTTGTGCTTGGGTTTCGATTATACAATGATCAAATACCCATCCCTCCACCAGTGCCCATTTTCCACCACCATGGATCCCAGTATCCTTCCCACTCCCATCCCCCTCATCCCACCTTGATTGACTTATTAATTTGATTGTTTTGGAGCCACACCTTGCGATGCCTGGGGCTACTCCCAGCTCTCTGCTCAGGGGGTCACTCCCTACAATGCTTGGGGGATTGAACTGGGTCTCCTGCATACAAAATCGTGCACTGAGGTCCTTTTTGCACTATTTCTGAATTCTCCCACCGCATCCCACTTCCTTTTTCTGAAAAATTGTGTCTGGTAGGGAAATCTTGGAGGCAATGGGAGGAAAATTCAAATACGGCATTTTCTACCCTCAAAGATTTCACATTGGCCAGAAAAGTGAACTTGCAGGGAGAGAAATGGAATGGGGAGTAGGAGCAAATAGCCTGAGAAGCTTAAAATTGTATTTCCTTCTAATTCAGGGTCAGTAACACAAATCTGAGGCAACAGGTGACCATAGGTTCAGTTTTTTAAATTTTAACAACAAAAAAGGCAAATGCCTGCCATTAAAACAAAAAACCTTCCGTGTCTACCATGCTAAGTAAGTTATGTCTATGAGGTATGTGTAGCTTGCTGGACTGCTTATCTTTGATTTTGTCAGCGTAGAAGGTCAGAGCCATTTGAGTCTAATATCCAGGATATAGTAAATCAGGGAACCAGGGAGATACTATAGCAGGTAAGTTGCTTGTCTTGAATTTACTTGGACCCAATTTGCTCACTACATCACATATAGTTCCCTCAGCATGGCTAAGGGTCACTCCTAAGGAGAGTCAGGAAAAGCCCCTGAGTACCACTCAGTGCAGTTCAAATTTTCTTCCCCCTAAGTAAAGGCCCTCCCGTTGATCGTCGATTTGCTCAAGCGGGCCCAGTAATGTCTCCATTGGAGACTTTGTTGTTACTGTGTTTGGCATATCGAATACTCTCGGTAGCTTGCCGGGCTCTCCGAGAGGGGCGGAGGAATCGAACTCGGGTCGGCCATGTTGGCTGCGTGCAAGGCAGACGCCCTACCCGCTGTGCTATCGCTCCAGCCCTAAGTAATAATAATAAATGAAACTGCATGTACATACTTAAAGGAGTCACTAATGTACAGATATACTGTTCAAGCTGGAAAAGAAATGGTTCAAATGATTCAAAAACAGGTAGGAAAAGATGTCTTTTATGAAAAAATTTAAAAGCAAACAAAATGTGCACAGGAGAAAATTGTTAAAATTAAATTCTATGCCAACTGCAGTTCCTGGCTGTAGTGCTCACACATTTTTTTCCTCGCTGCACCCTCAAGGAGTTGAGGGTGGTGCCCAACACCTTTGGTGTTTACACACCCTGGTACGTGTGCCTGGTAATCCCTTGGGATGGTGCTGAAATAGCAAACAGAAGTTTTTAGACTTTTCTTGGTGCATACGGTGGCATCACTGGGGATCGAACTTACGACCTCATGCTGGCAAGGCAGGAGCCTTGGCCATGAGCCACCTCCTAGTCCCCATAGTGAGATCTCTAAACATACACTTCAGGACTGGGGAGATAGTACAGTGGGTAAGGCGCTTGTCTTGCATGCAGCTGACCCTGGTTTGATCCCTGAAATCACATATGGGCCCCTGAGCACTGCTAGGAGTGACCCCTGGGTACAGAGTAACTCTTTAGCACTGCCAGGTGTGGCCCAATCACCTCATCAATAAAATAGAATAGATACAAGTTTAGGGAGAGGAAAAGGATTCTACTTGTGCGTTTGTTTTCTTAAAAAAAAAACAAAGCCAATCCTCTTAATTCCTTCAAATCTCATTTAACAGACCAGATGGTCTCATTCAGTTGCTTCTCTGTCTCCCCAAGGCAATTTGGATGACTCGATTTGCCTGTGAACTCTTCTTAGTTGGTTTGAGCCTACACCCAGCAGTTCTCAGGGGACCATGCCAGGGATAGAATCTGGGGCTACTTGCAAAACATCCGTTCTGGTCCTTTGAGGCCTGCCCCATTTGGTGCTTGAGCCACACACCGGGGTGCCCAGGGGGCTACTCCCAGATGAGCATCCGGGATCATGTTAGGGTCAGGGGACCACATGGTTCAGGAGATCAAACCTAGACCTCCTGAATGCAGAGACTGTCTCTGCTGTTGCGCCATTTTTTTATCTGGCAATTTATCCAGTTCTTTTGGCATACGTAAATTGTTTCCTATCTTTCATTATTTCCCCGATAAATGGGTCTCTGTCACTGTCCTCCTGTTGTTCATCAATTTGCTCGAGCAGGTCCAGTAACATCTCCATTGTGAGACTTGTTACTACTGTGTTTGGCATAACGTCTCCACTGTGAGACTTGTTACTGTGTTTGGCATATCGAATACGTCACGGGGAGCTTGCCAGGCTTAGCTGTGCGGGTGAGATACTCTCGTTAGCTTGCCGGGCTCTCTGAGAGGGGCGGAGGAATCGAACCCGGATCAGCCGGGTCGCCCAGAAGCATGCAGGGAAACGCTGTACCCCTGTGCTATTGCTCCAGCCCGATAATAAATGGGTGATTTATTAAAATTTTTAAAATATTTTTAATTAAATCACCTTGAGATACATATTTACAAAGTTGTTCATGATTGGACTTCAGTCATACAATGTTCCGCCACCTATGCCATCACCAGTGTACAATGTCCCCAGTTTCCCTCCCCTTCCCCCTCTGCCCCACCCCCCCCAGCCTACTTCTATCACAGGCATTTTTTTTTGTTAGTGAAACACCATGAGGTACAGTTATAGACTTATAAATTTTTGTGCTTGGGTTTCAGTTATACAGTGATCAAGTACCCATACCTCCACCAGTGCCCATCCTCCACCACCATGGGTCCCAGCATCCCTCCCACCCCCCATCCTCCCTGTCCCACCCTGCCTCTGTGGCAGGGCGTTCCCCCTTGTTCTCTCTCTCTTCTTTTGAGTACTGTGTTTTGCAAGAGAGGCATTGAGTGGCAATCATGTTTGGTCTATAGACTACTTTTAGCATGCTTCTCCCACCTTGGGAGGGTCCTCACAACACCCTTTATTTGGTGCTCTCTTCTCTATCTGAGCTTCCTTTTCCCCTAGCACGTGTGGCTGGCCTTCAAGTCATGGAGCAAAATTCCTGGTACTAATCTCAGCCATTTCTGGGTGTTAGTCTCCCTTTTTGTTGCTTTATGTTCCCCAGATGAATGCAATCTTTCTGTGTCTATCCCGCTCTATCACAGGCATTTTCTCTTTGTCTCTCTCTCTTTCCTCCCACCTCCTCTTCCTCTTTCCCCTCTCCCCTCTCCTCCCCTCCCCTCCCCCACTCCCCTCCCCTCTTCTGTCCCCACCTTCTCTCTCCTGTCCTCTCCTCTCTCCCGCTCCCTCTCCCCCCCACCCCATCTCTCTCTTTCTTTCTCCCCCTCCCTCTTTCTTTCTCTCTCTCTTCCTCTCTTTCCTCTCCTCTCCTTTTGGGCATTATGGTTTGTAGCACAGGCACTGAAAGGTGCGAGGCCTGTGCTCCAGTTCTTTGAGCTATTTCTCCAGTCCCAAAGAAGCGATTTTTAGTTCTTTCCTTGTGCTTCACTGCATCATCCAGCCTTTCGATAAACTGTGTAGTAATTTGGTACTATTTCCTCTCCCAGCATTCAATCTCTGAATCAGTTCAGGGGGTATTTTTGGACAGCCCCCTTTTGTTCTGGAAAGGCACAAAAAAAGGTCCCAGGGAAAAGAACTGATTGGTTCAGGCCAGATCACATGACTGCCCCACCCCCAGTAGCTCAGCAGCAGAGTGTTTGACTTGCAAATGTATAGCCCTGGGCTTGACCCCAGACACCTCATGGTCTCCTCCACAGAGCACTGGCAGGGGCCCACGCTGGGCCTGAGCAGTACCACACTGCCAGACCCGAGCATTGATTCACCTGACCCTGTGGACTGAGTATCCCTGGGACTGGTCCCCAAATTCTCTGAGCATTGACTGGGAACATCTCCCCCATCCTCCCTCAAGGACAAACAAGTCAACAGATGAGAAAAGCAACATCATCAAGGCACACAAGGCTGCCGGAGAACAGCTGGAGGAGGCTGGGCCTGCTCCCAGAAAAGGAGCACCCTTGGGGACTGTCCCTCAGACACCCTCTTACCAATGAGAATATTTCAAAGGGTGTCAAGCTCAGTGCCTGAGTGGGAATTGTGTCCTTATCCATCCCCCGCCCCCCTGACCCACAGCACACCTCCTCCCCAGCTAGTCCCTGTTCTAACACACAGCCAAGTCAAATGAGAAAGAACAATAATAAACAAGACTCACAAGTAAAATTGGTATGGCTTAGAGCCAAAGAGCTGGATAGGACAATTGGGTAGGGTGT